AGGGAACATCCGACGGTTCCCCGGACCAAGGGAATAGGGGAGGCTGGTACCAGAGTACGCACTGGAAGGGTGTGAGTCCAGTGGATGGCTGACGAAGGGAGTTTTGCGCGTACTCTGCCCAGCCTAGGAACTGGTTCCAAGAGTTCTGGTGGCCATGGCAGAAGGTTCGTAGAAAACCCCCAATCTCTTGGATCTTCCTTTCCGTCTGCCCGTTAGACTGGGGATGGTATCCAGACGAAAGGCTTATGGTCACACCTAGGAGGGAGAAGAATGCCTTTCCATACTCTGGAGATAAATTGTGGGCCACGGTCAGAAACAATGTCTTCAGGAATTCCGTAGTATCTGAAGATGTTATTAAACATGACCTCCGCAGTTTCCATGGCTGTGGGTAGGCCCTTGAGGGGGAGAAGACGACAGGATTTAGAGAATCGATCAATGACTACTAGAACACATGTGTTACCATCCGAGGTTGGCAGATCGGTGATATAATCAACCCCTAGGTGTGACCAAGGGCGGTTGGGAACGGGCAGCGGAAGGAGCTTGCCAGATGGTAGGTGGCGTGGGCTTTTGGAGATGGCGCAGTCGGAACAGCCTTGGACGAACCTTCTCACATCCCTGGCCATATTGGACCACCAGAAGCGATCCTTCAGCAGCGTGATGGTGCTGTTGGCCCCTGGGTGGCCAGTGCCCAGAGAAGTGTGGACGGAGTGGATCAGGGAAGTGCGTTGTGCTCTGGTCCCCGTAGTGGAAGCGTCCGCCTCTACCACGAAAGGTTTGTTGGGGTCTGGGTGGACGAGGAGTGGTGCCGAAGTGAAGGCGTTCTTCAGTGTTTCAAAGGCCTCCGTGGCAGCTGGTGACCAGGACAGAGATTTGGGCTTGTCATTTCAGGACCTCCGCAACGTAGTGGCGATGTTCGGCCAAGCTCCGGGAGTAGATTAGGATGTCATCAATATAGACGAGGACGAACCAGTGTAGATACTCCCGGAGCACCTCATGCATGAGTCCTGGAATACGGAGGGGGCGTTTACTAGTCCATACGGCATGGCAAGATACTTGTAGTGCCCAGTAGGGGTCACGAAGGCAGTCTTCCACTCGTCCCCCTCACGTATCCGGATGAGGTTGTACGCGCTGCGGAGGTCTAACTTGGTGAAGACGGTGGCTCCGCGGAGATGTTCCAATGCCGCTGGGACAAGAGGATGTGGATAGCGGAACTTGACAGTACTCTTGTTTAGAACCCGGTAATCAATGCAAGGCCTCAAACCCCCGTCCTTCTTGGCCAGGAAGAAGAAGCTGGAAGCAGCAGGGGACGTGGAATGGCAGATAAAGCCTTGATGTAAAGCTTCCTCGATATACTCCTCCATGGCCTTCTGTTTAGGGAGTGACAAGGGATAAATTCTTCCATGGGGCACTGGCTCACCCTCAGGACCTCACCAGTTCTTCAGGAGATGGTAGGATCATGTTGCACCAACCAAGGACGCCCTAGGATCACATCAGCGCACATGTTTCCAGCTGAGTGGTTTTCCAGTCACCGATTGGACCTGGTAAGTGGTCTGGGTGGTCGTGGTCGGGAGATTGAGTTGGCGGCAGAGACTTCCGGTGCAAGATTGCATGCCATTAGCGCAGCGGATGGATAGCTGGATAAACCATTCCAAGCCGTAGGAATCATCGTATGCTGCGAGCTGAAGTTGCAATCTCGGCTCAAGTCCCTGCCGGTAGGTGCTCATAAGTGCGCGCTCATTCCAGCCGCTGGCTGCTGCGAGGGTTCTGAACCTGAGGGCGTAATCAGTTATAGACAGAGATCCTTGACGGAGATTATATAATTGATCACAAACAGAGGTATCGCCCACGGCTTTACCAACGACCTCTCGGAAATGTGCAATGAAATTATCAAGGGATTCAGTCACTGTACCAGCTTGGGACCAGATGGTCTCTGCCCATTGAAGTGCTCGCCCCGTCAGCAAGGATATGACGAATGCTATCTTGGCGCTTTCCGTTGCTGAATGGGAGCTGAGGGTGATTGTGAATCCGTGACAGGTGCGTGTGATTAGAGCTCAGGTGATGGTGTTCGCTGAGATTGTGAGGTGGCTGAGCCTGGCCGATCTGTAGGTCCGTTTCCATTACAGATTTGCGCAAGACTTTGGCGATATTTTATAAATGTCGATAAAAAAGTAATGCGAAATGACGGCGTTTCCATTAACCAATGTTATGCGACTAAAACATAACCTCAAATATCAGCTTACTAAGACATATTATTGGGAGATATAAACTGACTACTGATATTTATATGCATTTTATGTAAGCAGTCTGCTATACTGTTATAAAGATCTTATTGATTTCGATTACAAGCAATCAGAATTTCATATAACTTTTTAACCATATAAATATAAGCAACTGCACCAAATTGCATATTTTTGCTCAGTTTGAGAATAAAACTGAGGTGTTTTTTTCCTCCATGAGTATGAGCTCCATATTGAATTACACTGTAATGTTGTCAAGATTACATTTTGATTAGAGAAAAAATAAAATGTGGCGGTATGCAAGTTGGCAGGCATGTGGTGTCCCATAATTAGTAAATGGCCCCCCAATAATTAGAAATGGCCAAACTCAAATTAAGTTTAAAATTACGCTCAAATTACATTATTTGGGTAACACTTTACAATAATGAACTAACTAACACTTTAATACACTTTAATACATTAACTAACATTAACTGATGGAACCTTTGTAAAATGTTACAATTATTTATTATTAAAGCATATACGTTCACATAAACACTTAAATTAAACAGAAAAGCAAGCAGGTGCATGATTTGGCATGGCAGCCAATACAAATAATTAATAACCGTTTCCTTACCTAAATCCTGCGTTTGGACCAGGCTCACATCACTTTGTGCTTCTGAAATTATTATCTTTTTCTATATAGTGTAGTAGTTAGCTATCTCTGTGTCGTGACCGCTTGTCAAGCATGAAAAACAGACGTTTTATTTAAATTCTGAATATATTATCGTATACAGCATGGAAAGAGCGCTCCCTTTAAATTTATTAAAAACGGTCACTCATTCATCACGATCTCACAAAGTTCCGTTTTAACCAATGAATGTGACAGGGATGTCCGTGGGATGCGCCGGTGTTCTGACAAATAATGCTACCTATCAGATTAGGCTACCAACTCTGTATTTATCCAACTGTTAGGGTAGGTTTAGGGTTGGGGTAGGTGTACATGTTAATAAAGCCTCACACCTTATTAATATCATGCTGGAAGCAAAATCTGATAGGTAGCACTTTTTGCTATGGAATTATGCTACCATCTGTTTTAATGGGAGGTAGCAAAATCTGACAGGGTAGCACAAATCGTCAGAACACCGGGCCTGCCCCAATATCTGAAATTCTTGCAATGCACTCCGTTAGGCAATGGTCTGTTTGTTGTTAGGATGACAAAAAGGTTTAAAAACTAAATTTTTTAGGCTATTCTGCCTCAGCAGTCTAACAATGTCAAAATGATTAAGATCGACAATCAAATCAAAGTAAGCAGAGTTTACTGTTCACAAAAGCAGAGGGCGAATTCCAGCGTAAAGCGTTTTAATGCTGAAAGTGTTCAATGTTGTTTTCAGAGAGCGAGGTTAGATGGAAGTAGCAAAACATTTAATATTTAACAACTACTTTTCGAAAAAAAAAAAATATATATATATATATTAAAAGACTGACGGTAATATCCAGTGATGCAAACTACTCGATTTTTTCTGAAATCTGGCTGTTTTGAATCAAAAACATGGTATCATTTCCGTGATGCATGTAATTCCTAAGTCAATGTGACGAGACAAGAAACGTTTGGCATTTTCAACAGTAGACATACAAATAAGGGATATTTTAAAATATTATTTGCAAACAGTTCAAAATGATCCCTTCCCTACTTGAATTAGCATTTCTATGAGGCTGTAATGCACAACAAGTGCTCTAGCGATGTACATTTTCAAATGCAATATACCCAACTAAACAACTTAACAGTACTACTGAATATATTGTTTATAGCAAAATATTAATTAGTGTCAGAGCAGCAAGATTCTCTTCAATTTGATTGATCAGTTTATTAATCTCTTTTATTTGCCAGTACATGTGAGTGACCAGTGTTGTCACACTGTCCTTGGTCACACTTTAAATCTGTCCAGCATGCAGCTATAGTACAATAAATACAAGATGTATGTAATGACAAGATACACATTACAATGTACAGTGCATTCAAAAGAGTAATTGGTTTTGTAAACCAGAGGCTATTGTGGAGAAGAAAAGCGGTCACCATTTGATGAATAATCAAGATGGCTCACATCCTGATGACAAATGAGTCTGACTGACAGAATAAACAAGCTGAAGGGCATATCATAGAGGGAGGACGTCACCACATAATAAGCTCCATTTCACTCTGACTATCTTATATAACTAGGCATTCGTCCAGGTGTTTACATTGGACATTTTATAAATACACCGCCTGGAGCCGCAGACCTCTGCTGGACCTCAATTTCTCTCCGGCGACAGATTTAGATGCTGATACCAAGGCTGTTTGGGTGTTTTTAGGTGAGGGCCACAGAGATTTGTATGCGGAGCGAGTAAGTGGGCTAGATGACGTGCAGCGCATCATGATCCGCCAGAGGGTGTGCTGCAGCAATGGCTCTTGAACCGTCATGCCCATCTAACATTTTTAAAGAGAACTTGGGCCGTTGCCCTCTAACTGCAGACCATATTTCCAAACCAACGAGCCTTCTGCCCTTTCACTGATGCTCTTTGCCTTTGAGACAGACGTGCTTCTGGAATAGACCGCTTAGAAGTGTTCAAAGGCAGATGCTGAGTTCATTAGTGTCCGTTCCTTGGCACATACCATCCTGCCACTCAAGCATTATAGCAGACCGGCCTTATAAAATAGAGACACTTGGGGATCACTTATCAAGGGCTGTTCTGTGTGCACTGAAGCTAAATGCTTTTTCTGACTTTATTCTCTTCTTTTGGCAGCACAGTCCAAGTACCATCATGAGAGGTGAGGGGCGGCGGACACGACTCTGAGAGACTTCACACGGCTGGGGGCGAGTGGCGCATTAAAAATACAGGTCCCACAAGAGCTTTCTGGTCTCAGCTAGTGCTGTAAATCAATACCCGAGCTCTCTGATTTCTTCATCAAGACATTGCTACAAATGGAATGGGTTTCTTGAGCACTTGCTGACCGGAAGCCGCACTCCAGAGGATGCTATTTTTGTGGACATCTGAAGTCTGTTTCACACTGCGGCTCTGAAAACACACCGGATGACTAAATCGGTATATTTATATATATATATATATATATGTGCATAGTTGATAAAGCTGATAAGTCTTTCAACCACCTGTCAATGTTCTTTTTTTACACTTATGCTGACACTTCCTTCAAAGCTTTTGGCACTTCAGAGAATATTCCTATCAGCTTTGGACTGTCTAAATCGCAGCTATTTTTATTCCACTCTACATATTTAGATAAAAGTCTCCCACTACACAATTCCGTTCAAAACATTTCAGTCCTCTCATCTGAATTTGTGAGAGCAGAAGGGAGGTTCACGCTTAAAAACTTCATTATTTCACAACCTGTCTACAGTCTGTTGCTAATCACGGTTTTCCATCATCAGAAGTGACTTCCATCTTTTTTCATGTAAAATGAAGCACATTAGCATATTTATGGGCTGAGATATATCCAATTGCGTACAACGTGCTACATGGATCTTGCATTCAGTCATCAAGCGAAGGAGCAAATAGCTTCTGACATGTGAAGAAAATGGAATATTCAAGAGCTCTGTGCACTTAAACACATGGACTAAAATCATGGTTGCAAGCTGGGAGGAGATGGAGGAGCACATGAGTTAGTTTCCCCATTAAGGTTTATGCTTGTATCTGTGTGAAATCAACCATAAATTGTTATGTTACTGCTTTCATATATATGACATATTCCTAAGAGTAAAATAGTTGGCCAGATCAGCCGGGAAGCATTAGTTGATGTCAAATCCAGATCTGGGAAAATGGAGAATCTGGATGAACTAGAACATCCATTGTTGGGTGACAGCAGCCCCATAAACTCAAGTGAAACAGGCACTAGTGGTAGTGGACTGTTCAAAAGCATATTGATGAGAAATGAGGAGGACAAAAGACTGCCCCCTCTGGACTGGAGGAATTATTGCCGTTCTAAAGACATTCAACAGCAGCAGCTACTGGATCCATGTTCATTGCCTAGCACTCTAGAGACTCTTTATCCTCCTACTTCCATTTGGGCCGCTGCTGATTCCTTGGGCATCCACAGTAAGGAGTATCTGGAAACCACTTTTGTGGACATTGGCCCTGGTTCACCATTGGAAAGGAAGTTACTGGCAGAGACAAGAGATATCCATAGTGTATCCTACAGCATGGAAGACGGGGATGACTTTTTGCCAGACTTTGAGGTAAGACTTTTCCTCCAGAATACAATACATGAGTGTTTCTTCAACTACATGCAGTTTTGGCCCTGTGTTCTTATAGAAAATAAAGTGTCTTGAAAAACACATTTAAATCAACACTGAAATGGTTTATACTTATTTTACTCTGTTTAACAAAGTTTTAATGTAATAATCCACATTTTTATTAAATACTGAGACATGGGTAAAACAATAAAAATGCATACATATAAGGAATTACCATGTATTATATTATTTATTTATATACACTTCTTTTCAAAAACTTGATTTCAGCAAGTGCACATTAAATTGATAAAAAAATGACAGTAAAGACTTTCTATTTCAAATAAATGCTGTTTTTTAAACTTTCTATTCATCAAAGAATCACGTTTCCACAAAAATATATAAGTATAAAATATAAATAAAAAATAAGTGTTCAAATAATATTACATATTATTAATATTTCTGAGGGATCACGTGTTTTTGAAAAGTGGAGTAATGGTTGCTGAAAGTTCAGCTTTCCCATAAAAGGAATAAATTACATTAAAAAATATATAATTATTTATATTTAAATTGTAATATTTCACAATATTATTGTTTTTACTCTATTTTAATGAAATAAATGCTGCCTTGGTGGGCATGAGACTTCTTTGAAAAAGACCCTAAACTTTTGAACCCTATCTACAGTACAAACATACATTCAGCCGGTTGTTTTCATCTCGATTTGGTCTTGCCAAAATGCCACCATGGTGGCAGTGGCTGCTTGTTTGATTTTCTTGTTTCCGCTCATTTATTCATTGTTGTTGCAGTTGAACTCTGAAGAGCAGAGGGAACTGAGTTTGTGCCAAGTCACTCTCTGTTTACTGGCATCGCAGTTGTTCATTCACAGTCCAAATCCTCATTGCTTCCTGCATTGGAAAAATAGAAAATCCCCTAGCCGTTAAGCCCTAATGCTCTGGATATCGCAGCACAAATTCAAATGCAGTACAGTCAGTGATAGGTGAATGAGTTTTTAAATTGAAAAATCAAAAGGCATGAATAGCAGGGGGGATGTTGAGCGTGGACACTGGCCTTCAAACCCAGCATGATTATTGAAAGCTCTGTGTCCACTGGTGTGTGAATAATAATGCCACTATGATGATGAGCTCCATGCCAACTTCTATTTCATACACCAGCAAACAAGATCTAGGCCGAAAAAGCAAAGATTCATATTACAGATTCGGCTTACCCACTAATCATTTGGATTAATAGCTTAAAAAAGGTGTTTCTTATGTGACAGCCAAGAACACATCAAAGTATCAGACCATTTATGTCTGTCAAAAAATCTGACACGATTTACTTTGCGCCACCACATGCAGATCAAATAAAACATACTCAAACACTTAGCATTCGGCGTCAGAGCACAAAAGCATTCCTCTGAAAAGCGGCTTGTCACACAAACACTCAGTCCCTTTAAAAGAGCACTTGAGGTTCTCTCTGTCAGCACTGATTACACATGCTGTCATGCCATCAGCGCTTTTCATCAGGAGGTCAAGTGTAAAACTGCTGCCATTGAAATATTTAAAAACCTGTTCTGAGCAGAGGCAGTGCTAACAAAGAGGAGAGACGACTGTGAGGCCGGCAAGACCAGAGCGAGTGACTGTAGTGTTTTATGAGCACCTGCTCTACTATGACACAGCATTAATAAAATATTATTATTTTTAAATACCAGTAGGCACTTAAAAGTGATGTGGGACATGGTAGCATGATTGCAAGGCTAATCTTTTAAATATTCATAGCCTTTATATCAATTTCAGATGGCTGTGAGGTTTAAGTATAATTTAAAATCCCCCGTGAGATCTCAAACTTTCAATTCTGACGGTAAAGTAGATTGACAGGAACCTGACCACTGTTAAAGATACAGTGGCTTGCCAAGTTACAAACAGTGCTGGGTAGTAACTGATTACATGTAATCTGGATTACATTATCAGATTCCAGAAATTATGTGTAATCACGTTATATTTTTAAATAGTCAGATTAGTTAGCTTATTAACAACTGAATGATTGCATTTTATTTACACAGGGGAGGTACATTTTTCATAATTTATTGCTTTTTTATTCTAAAAAAAAGTCTGACTTAGATATGTTCAGAAATACATACATGCCAAATGAATTAGCACAGTACACATAATGCTAATTTTATTTTAGTTTTTGTGAATTGGTTTTATACGATGCTTCAAAAATGTACACAAAATACACTTTTACTTTTTTGATAATTTTTTGAGAGTTTATGTGTTTCAGAAAAATAAGTGACATATCCATTGACCGTTATTTTGATTCTTGAAGACCTGACAAAAATATTTCAAACCTGGAAGACTTTGTCCATGTAATGTTCTTGCTGTTTTCATGTTTATGAATAATTGTCCATGTGTTGTAATGTTTAATGTTGATAAATAGAATATACTATATTTCGATCCTCTTTGTATTTTTATATTAAAATGGAACAATGTTTTCTATTTAAATCTATGTGATCAACACATTAGGTCAGAAGTAATCTAAGTAATCAAAAAGTAATCATGTTATAAGCCTTAAATACATTAAATTACTAACTACAATTTTCGTCATTTAATTTGAAATCAGTAACGATTCGAATTTTTTAAGCAATCTAGCCAGTGCTGGTTACAAACTACTCGTAATTTCAAATGGTTAAGTTTAAAAACTACAAGTCACTAATAAGAAGCAAACCAAATTCAAGCTAAGGGGGTTCTATTCAAGCACAAAAACATTGAAACTGGGGTTAAAATTAATCAGTGGATCATTTATTGATCAGTTACGTAATTATTTACTGAAATGCATCAGACTTAATGATACAAATGGGAGAGAGGCCAGAACGTGCTTGACTATTCCTTCTACTCACCCGGCTGTATAGCTGCGATGCAATGTGATGAAAAATACAGCAATATAGCAAATAGCATTTTGTCATGCTACACTGCTCCATGTTGAAAACAAAAGTAGCTTGTAGTTAAAGGTACTGTGGTTGCATCACAGAAACATCATATCTGTGTCTGAGTCCAGTGGAAATTGTAGACACTTGCCAGTGACCTAAACAACAATGCAAAGGCTAAGTGTTTCCCTTTTCCCATACTTTTTAGTCTGTGAATCCTTTTTGTGTAGAGATGAAGTCATCGAAGTTCAAAATGCATGACACACATCTGGAGGACGTAAACACTATGGCTGTAGAGTGAAATGAGCTGTTGTCAGACACAGTCCTAGAGAACGAGACAGATAGAAAACACAGCTCATTTTTGAAACAACATGAGTCAGAATTTGCCTGTAGGCAGCACAACTAGTGCACATTTGGCATAACCTCATTCAGTCACATTATCTTACAGGAACCAGAAAAACTGGCAACAGATACAGTTAAAAATAAATGCAAGTCATTGCCTTTGTAGGAGAAAACCTACGGTAATTACATTTGAAGTTCACATGTTACAAAAGCAATTTATATAACCTACAATTTTAAACTAATCATATCTCTGAAACTCCCTTTCACAGGATCCTATGAAGAATTGAGTACAACATACAATAAATAATAAATTAATCAAAGGTTGATCCCATGATAAAATAAATTAAATATCATTTCTGACTAGTAAATAATTTCTATTGACATTATGTAACATTATGTAAGCTCTCTGGTGCTGATGATTGTGAAATTTACCGCAGGACTCCTCCAGTGATGACTTCAGTGATACAGACAGTGAAAGCAACTTTCCCATCATGATCCCTCAAGATTACCTGGGCCTGGCTTTCTTCTCCATGCTCTGTTGTTTCTGGCCTCTGGGCATTGCTGCGTTCTATCTTTCCCAAAAGGTAAAGGACAATTTTTTTTCATTCTTTTGGGCTCACTATGGGTGCTTGCAGAATTTTATCTAAGAGAAAACACAGGGAAGATTTTTTTTTGGGGGGGGGGGGGAAAA